GAAATTGGAGATTTAGAGAGAGAGAGAGAGAGAGAGTGGGGCGGAGAAGTCGAGGGAGAGAGGGACGTAGGGGTGTGTTGTTAATATCGACAGAGATGGGGTCGGAATTCGTTGTTGTTGTTGGTTTTAGGAAAATGATACGGGTACACCATCAACCACACCTCCACCTACAGTACGACGGGTCTTATATGAAATTTTTTAAAAATTTTATATGAGCCCGTTATACTGTAGCAGGAGAGGAAGTATGGTTGATGGTGTGGTTGATGGTGTGCCTGTAGTGTCCCTCTTGATTTTATTTAGTTTTTATAATTTATTAATAACCGAGTCTACAATTTGGTCGTCCGGTGCAAACCATGACGGACGCCTGGCTCGGCCCCAGCGTTAGGGGAAAAAAGATTAATTAGCATCTAAATAGTTTACAGTTTACCTCATGTTTACTATTAAATCCTTAGTCTTTCCTGCACTTGTTTATTCTGAAAATAATTTTGTTAACGGAGTTTCCTTTGAAATAAACTTCACGATAAAATCTGCCCCATTTTATTTTTCATCATCTCCTTCCCAAAAAGATCATCCAGACCTAGACTATCGCTTAATCCATCTTTATTAACCGCATCAATCTGATAGTAACATTTTGCAATAAGATTTTCATAATCACTCTTCTTTGGCTTCAATTTCGACCCCAGGTAAATCTTTTCCATAGATTCCATTCTTTTAATTTTTCCAATGGGTTATATTTACAGATTTCTAGAGTTTTGACTTAGGAATTGCTGATTTGTTTTCTTAATTCAATGTTTTAAATTTCTTAATGTATTTCCTTTATTTTGTTAATGTCTGTTTAGATTTGTTTAGAATGTGTTTCACTTTATTCTCTACCCATAACGTCTTGCATTAGTAATTTTCCGGTTCCGAAAGTTTTTCGTTTCGAAATCGATGAAATCAAAACTTATTTTTTTGAGTATCTCATTTCTTAGAGCTCATCCTGACTCCACTTTCAAAATGTATCTTATTTTGTATATATTCAATGTAGGAAGATGGCAAAAAGTCTGAAGTTGTTGGATATCGGTTTCGATGTCACGTCTGTAGTTTTTTAAATGTTTGACCCTTTTTCTTTGAAATTTGACTCGAATTAATTTGAGAAATCGATCCTCTAATCATTCTGCACCTTGTGTCATATTCTCTTCCCAATTAGAATTTAAAAACTAGTGATTTTTTGCCCGTTATGAATTTTGTCCAGACCAAAAATATGCTTTGCTTTGTGTTGACGTCAATTATCAAATAGGGGTTATCTAAGAGTTTGTGCAGTGATTAGGGTCCTCTAACTCCTCCTGATGAATAGTTCTGGGGCTTGTTGTTCTTTCATGCACATGAAAGAACTCGTAAGAGAACAGAGTTGGGTTCTCCGGTTGTTCCTCAGACGATCAAGCCAGTAGATGATCTTGAGTGGGGAAATATAGAGTTATCTCTTAGTTATGTCCAAAAGATAAGAGAGAGTTACCTCATGCAGTGCCGCTCCTTTTACAGTGGATCCGAGGGGCAAGAAGGTAAATTGGGCTGAGTCCAGCTAGGCAGCTGAGTCTATAGACAACTGATAGGTATTGGTCGTTAGCGAAGATGGGCCCTCCAGGTGGTTAGTGCCAAGTGATAGCAGTTGCTTGGTGTTGGCGAAGCCTGATAAGTCATAAAGACTTTGTAAAGTAAAGCAATAATAACTTTGTCATAGCAGTTAATGTAAGGGCAAGCGACTGTCAGCGCGAGGTTCAAGCAAACTACCACCTCTTCAGTCGTCCAGCTGATGGCCGACTACGCAAGTTATCGGCTGATATAACAGGCCAAGTGGGGGTTATTCGTAGAGACGACTAGTTGGATTGGACGACAAGTACTGCCTTTTGACTCAGTTACGCGAGATGTTAGCCAACAATGGGCTGAGTCAGGTCACTTATGGAATCAATTGAGGGGTTTGCCGAGTAGTATCGCCTTTTGACTCGGTTACGCGAGCTGTTGGCCAATCAAGTCGACCGTGTTGAGGCGGAGATTATCTTGGTCTTGAATTAGTCAGATTAGGTAGTGTATGACATGTGTCGACTTCTCTGTGGAGAATAATATTTAGTATTTTAGGGGTATAACACTTTGACTCACCTTATTTCCAAGTCTACTCCACTAGGCAAATTTTATATTTCGTCAATTTCTCAAACCTGAACTGCAAATCTCTTCATATACTCCCATCTCTACCCCTCAACACCAACAAGGAGGAAGAACAGAGAAAAGATGGGAGATTGAGGAAGGGTTTTTGATGAGGATGATTCGAGGAGTAGATTGTTCATTGTTATCGGATCCGACTCCGAATGTTCTCACTTGCTATGTGGTCTAATTGGCTTTCAAAACCCTAGATGTATTTTCCTTTGTTGTTTAATCATCCTATTATATTTTCTCTAGTGTAGAAGTTATTTAAAAAAACCATTTTCACATGTTTAGATGCATAAGAGGTATCTTTTTTCATAAATCAAAATCCTATAAGTAGATCTTAAAAACCTTTCCCCATCCAAGCATGAAATACATCAATCTTGAATATCTTGATCGTATAATTTCATAGACATTCATGATAATCATTTCTTGATAATAAAAGATGATATGCACTTATTTTTCTAGTTTTTACTACAAAGTTTGCATTTTTATCAATCAAGAACATTCTAAACTTTAGAATTCACCTTCATGTCGTGGAGTTATGTTTTAACATATTCTTTGATTAAATTGCATTTGATGGATATTATTCTGTTATAGCCTACAAACAACTATGTGACCATTTGATTAAATGTATGTTATTTATTGTGAAGTTTTAGTCTTTTCATGCAAAGTCTAATTCGATTCATGTTAAGTATAATTAAGTTCTTATTAATCCTAAATTATTTAATGTTATGTTGTGACGCCCCTGGGTTCACACAAGGCTGCAGTCCAAGGTGAAACCAGGAATGTCAAACCTGCCATACACCACACCGTGCAATAACATGTTTCACCATCACAATTACTATCTTTCTAGTAGAGTCAAATAACAGGTGTAGGTACAAAAAAAGTAAAAGATAATACAAGAGTCAACTGATGAAATAATGGAGATCAAATTAATATTTCATCATCTAACATATTAAAATACAAGTCAATGTTTGAAGTGAATAAACTGGAATTTCTCAACAAGTCTCAAATATAAATGTCTGAATAAAAGGAAATAAGACACACAACATTTACAACTTCTAGAATAAACTCTCAAAATGTCTAAACAAATCCTACAGTGGAGCTCAAAAGTAAAATATAACTATAATAGAATAGCTGAAGCTAAAGTGCCTCACCATCAACCTGCGATTCTCCGGGCTCCGGGCTCGTTACCTAAAAGGGGGAGGGACAACGAGCGTCAAAGCGCTAGCGAGCAATATCACAACCAACCCCAAAGGAAAGGGCTCGTTGTATACAGAAAATACAGTTATAACATATATATATAATCACAAATCCTATTTAGGTAATTACAATGTGAGCATAAGTACGTCGAGCGAAATAATTCAAACAAGGAAACCCTCATGTATATACCATGTAGCTCAGATTGTAAGTACCTAGGTATAGGAGGATTTTAGTATTTAGGAAGTTACAACACGAGCATAGGTACGTCGAGCAAAATAATACAAACAAGGAAACCCTCATGTATATACCTTGTATCTCAAATTGTACATCCCTAAATACCAAACCCAAAATCTAATACAAGAAATATTAATAAAAGAAGGCAAACTCATCTCAGACTTAATTACGGTGTCGTGTCACAACTCGTATCAATATCGTATCCAGCCTATGTAAGTGTTTGTGTAAACTCTCAAGGTCTAAACTAATGTAAAGGGTGTCCAACACATGGACTGCATATGAAAACTGTCCAACACATGGACTGAATGTGATAACTGTCCAACACATGGACTATACATCATAATTGCCCAACACATGGACTAGATGAAATATATGAACATGTGCATATTCAATAATCTCACACGTGACTCGGTGTGTAAACCTAAACTGGTGTCCGTATAACAT